AATGTATGTGATTTTGCATTATTGAAGTGTTTTCAGTTTTCAAACATAATTTCTTATAGCTAGAAAAAAACACTGTATCTCTTCACATTTCTTTAATTTTCCTCACATTTTAATACGACAATGGAATTTACATATAATCTTAGATGGCTTTTATTGTTTCACTTGTTAATATTTACATTAAAATGTATTTAAAAGATATGCAGCTGAATGGAGGCCAGTCTGGTGTCTGGTCTACATGAGTTCCACACCAGCTAAGGCTACAGGGAGGCCCTGTTTGGAAAACAAAACAAAACAAAAGAACAAACCATGATTCTGTTTTCCTATGTCTTCCCACTCCTCCCATATTCAGAAGTACTGTGGTTTCCCCAGAAAACTGAAAAAAACAAGTATTAAATGGAAAGGTTTGTTTACATCTACTTCTGTCCTTGGCTTGATGGATGCTTGGATATACTATTTATTTCTCTTGGATATAATTTCCTTAAGGTAAGTTCTTAGAAGTAGAATTGCTCGATCAATGAAAATATATTTCTTACTTAGTTGACATTGCCAAACTGGCTTCCAAAAATGTAATGGCATGCTGTACAATTTCCACAGCAGTTTCTGATCTAGCCAGCCTGCAGATTTGTGAATTTCTAGGTATAAGCAGAGTCTGTATGATGCTGTGTCAGCTCCTTTATAGGACCCTCCGACCAGAGCAGCCCCTGCAAGGCTCTCCCATAGTCAGAGATGAGGCAAGGCTCAAAAACCCAGAACTTGGCTGCAACAGCCTGCGTTGTTGTCAACAGGCCAAACCTAGGGCTCAGTGAGACTGCCCACGTGTAACCACCTCCTCTGGGAAATATATGGTTTTCAGGAGACATGGGTATATTTTTTGATTTAGGGTCTCATTCCATAGCCTAGGCTGGCTTCAAACTCTCAATACTACTGTCTGCCTCAGTCTCCTGAAGGGTAGGATTATAGGATTATATGATTATACCATCATATCTGTTGTGGTTCTATAGCAATTAACTGTGAGGAATCATTCGTAAGAAGGATAAAATTAGAACACTGAGAGTGCTACATATTTAATTTAGATGAGTAGAGTTCATGCTCTTTACTGGAGGGAACAGTTTGGATTGTTGTAATTTAATTTTTTAAATGTTTTTACCCTTTTACTTATTTAGTGTAGGCATACACACAGAGAGAGAGAGAGAGAGAGAGAGAGAGAGAGAAAGAGAGAGAGAGAGAGAGTCTATGATGGTCAGAGGACAATTTCTTCTAGGAGTCAGTCTTCTCCTTCCACCATGTTTGTCCTGAGGTTTGAACTCAGGTCATTTGGCCTGGCCACAGGTTAAGTCATCTCACTGGCCTTGAAGTATCCTACTTTTAAAAATGGAAGAAAACCAATAGCAAAATAAAAGTTGTACCTTGAAGAACAGTGGAGTACATATTAGGGGAAGAGAAAAGGAAAGACCTATCTAAATAAAAATAGAAACAATGTAAAATTTTCCATGTCCTTATGTGAAGAAAATGCTTAATTATAATTGTTTGAGATATTGTATCTGGTTTTCCTTCATAGATCCTGGTTCAGTTTGAAAATAATCATATCAAAATACAAACCTCACCGCAAATATAACACTATATTGTATAGGGAGAATCTTGGATCCAACTATTTCATTAGATATTTAGTAAAATGATCACTGAGAAAATACTTCATGAAAACTTAAAAATAGTACCTAATCATACAAAAACACCTTCTGTTGTTTTAGACAGAGCTTTGCCATAACCCCAGCTGGCCTGGAACTCTCTATAGACCAAACCGGTGTCAATCTCAGAGATCCCCCTGCCTCTGCCTCCTTAATACATCACCATGCCCAGTTAACATACAAAAACATTTTAACTGTGAACATATATTTTCTTCACATACATAAGTAATGGGTTCAATTCAAATACACTTATATTTTGAAATAACATGATGCAGGTGCTTTTTCCTTTATTCTAAAATAGTTTCAGAATATAAACTACTAATCTTCTATGTAGCTCTCTAAAAATATTAATTAGGCTACTCTATCAGATAGGATAATTGCTCCACAAAAAAGTCTTTGCCTTTCATTATTTATTAAGCATTGTTCTGGGAGTTTTAACAGTGGAGCATATTTAAAAGAATTAATTAATACTGAGGGATCAGCAGGGTCCTGCACAGCATGTTTGCTGAGTGACTGAATTGCTGTTATCTGTTAATAGGTATATTTTTATTTAGCACATCCATAATTGACTGGTACAGTTATTCACTGGACTTCCTGGAAAAAAATTTTGAAGGAAAAAAAAGCCCTGAGAATGTTTAGTGGATTCTTTATTTAATATATTAAGAAAGGAGAACTAAACTTTAGGATTTCATCTTTCAAAGAATTCTTCCACAGACATTTCATCGTAAGCATTTAGTTCTCTCAACTGCGGAGCAACCATATGCATGTAAATTGTTTCCTATAGGCATTTACTGAATTTCTTGATAAAGAGTATTAATAATGTCAACATTTAAAATGTTCATAAGACATAATAAATGTACATATTTATGAGATACAGGCAATGTTTGAACCTGGTCTACATTATATAATGTTTCAATCAACATAAAGGTAATATTTATCATTTCAAACATCATTATTTTGTTGTAAGAACACTCAAAATCCTCTCTATCTATATTAAAATATGCAAAACTTTATCATTATCTATAGTCACTCAACTGTGTCTAGTTCTAACTCCTATATATAACATAAAGAATATGTAAATTCTATAGTTAAAGATAATGTTTGGAGTTGAAAGAACCATTAAGATTTGTTCCTACACTTATATGTGTAGTAGTGCCATACTGAATCCATTTGTGTTACAAGTGATGTTAGGAGAACCAGTCTTCCAAATTATTCTCTGCTACATTCATCAAAACACAATTTTTCAACTAGTCATTGTAAGTGACAACTGTCTCTGCTATGATTAAAAGTTAATACGAAATTCTAATTAAATGCTTTCTCTTCCTTTTCAAAAATGGGTGATAGTTTTAGATAAATTTCCAACTTCTGTGACTACATGAATTTCTTTTTTTGTTGTTGTCGAACATTTAAAAATATTTTATTGAGTTTCTGTGCATTTCATATAATAGATCTCAATCAAATTTAGACCCATTCCTTTATCTTCACCCTCCCATAGCCCCCCGCCCCACCAAATTTCATGCATTCTGTCTATACGCATGCAGTCCTTTCCCATGAAGTATTTGCACCTAGATGTCCTTTGGTGCAAGATCATCCACTGGAGTCTAGTCAGCCTATGTAGAGTCACTCCCTAAAGAAGATCTACTCTCCTTCACCCAGCAGTAATCAGTTGCCAATAGTTTCAAGATTAGGTTTGGGGGCTGACAGCGTGCACAAGATCCATGCCAACTCAATCAGACAAAAATCCAGCTCAGATCACATGGATTTCTTAAACTTGGAACATTATGTTTTTGTTGGATAGAAGAGAGAGTTTAGTTATATTATATAGAACAAGTAATCATGCAACTCTGTTGGCCATCTAGGAAGGAAAGTAATAATTTATAGCATTTTATGTTTTGTTTTTAGATTGAGTAGGTTGAGTATTTATTTGCATTCACTGTAGACCTCAGCAGCAAATAGCACAAGATCGCTCACAAAGTATTTCTATTCCAAATTTGACCTGAAAGCAGTTGAAGTGAAGGGCTGAGTGACTAGAGAAGGTTGTGAAGCTTTTGTCATGTTTAATTGAAATTAAACATGATGTTAGTGTCTAATTCAGAGTTATTCAAAGATAAGGTTTACATAAATGAACGGCTTTTGGAAATAAGGGTCTAATTTATGTGGGCACTTTTAACTTTAGAAAATTTCTCCTTTTTGCCTTTTATAAGGAATAAATATATTTTACATGTAACTATGCATATAAACAAGTTTTCATGAAGCCAGAAGTCCAAATTCAGTCCAGAGGAGAAAGGAGTTAAAGACAAGCCCTTGACTCTCTCTAGAGACAGGACATACTGCATCAACAGGGACTCTGGGTGATCTAACACCTACATTAGGAATGTGCTTCATGCAGAGAGAGTTTCTCCAAAGAATCATGACTAGTCACTCCTACTCCCTAGGAGGCCTTTTTCTGCTGGACTAAACTCTAATTATGTTTATTTATTGAACTATACTGTGCCTCTGATAAAACTGTATGCATCATTCATGTGATTTCCTCCCTAAAAACATAAAACTTTATTTATGAGAGTATGAGGGAATAGATCAATGCAAGGAGTCTGTGTTAACTAAAGTAAAACTTGATCTCAAATCTCCAAAATGAGATGGTGTAAGTAGACAGGTCATCCTGAATAATAAGTTCACTATCCAAATAGAGGTAAAGACCATTTCCTATGAGAGTTAACAAAGTAGGTAAGATAATAGGATAAGTAAGTGAATTTTGGTAGAATTACTATATGCAACATTTTAATGCCTGAGAGGAAAAAAAGTCAATGGATTTCTTCCAAAAATAGTCATTAATTGAACAGCATTTTTCTTAATGCAGTTGTAACTGAAAATGTATTTTGAAGCAATTTGAGATCTTGTGCAAATGAAGAACAAAACTATGTTTTCCCATCCATCCTGACACTCTAATTTCATGTGATATCAATGAAAAGTACCATTAACCACAAATAAAAAGAGAAGACAAATGAATTTTACAATGACCCATTCTATTAGAGGGTGGTGAGGGGTTCCCCCATCTCTTTTCTTTTTATTCTTCAGACAGGTCATGATAAGTTAACAAAAAAAAAAATGCAGGGCTATAATCAGACACTGAAATTGTCTTTGTTAGCTGTTTTGAAATATATCATATGCTAATAACCTATTCATTAAGTGGGTATTTTCTATTTAAAAAGATGCTTTTATATTATAAAGCTAGTTTGACTATTTTCATGGAATGAATTATAATCACATTTAAAATAATTTACAAAGATTATAACAGCTTATTCCATTGTAACTTACCTCAAAGTGGATAAAATTAGGTCTAAGTTTTTGTATAGGACTGCTCCAAGAACAAATACAGATGATTCATCTAATTCTAGAAATAATAAAATGAAAAATGTTATTAAAATCATAAGGAAATGCAGTCATACAAAACTTTAATCTACCAATCGCAACAGTATTTCAATATCTTCTCTTGGGTAAAGATAAAGCCGTGTAGCAAAAATTTACCCTTAGCCATGCCTGGGAATGTTGGCCACACTGTCTTAACCAAGTAGTTGTAGAAGATAGTGTTCTTAATGATTTTGCCATCAGGAACAATCCTTCCCCCACCAGGCTGAGATAAGAACTATCCTCAGGTGCATTTAAAGAATTTCAATTCCCAGTGATATGGAAGAAAGACATCATTTCTCTTCAATATCATTAAGATTTAAGATTAGAATCACCAAAGTGAGAATTAAGAACACATGCCACTTTATTTATTTTTATGTATTTGTGTGTTTTGCCTGCATGTATGTAAGTGCACCTAGATTGTGCAATGCCCAATGGAGGCCGGAAGGGGGCATTGAATCACCTGGAACTGGAATTAAAGCTGGTTATTAGCCACTGTGTGTGTTGGGAACCAAACCCAGGTCCTCTGGTAGAGCTGCCTGAGCTCTTAACCACTAAGCTGTATCTCCAGATCCCATATGTCAGTTTTGAAGGAAATCTTAAGCAGGTTCTTAAAATAAAATCTCATTTTGTCTTATATATGTTAACTATCATAGAACAAAATAATACCCTTAAAGCGAAGTGAATTTTAAGGTGAGTTAGAAACAAAACCGACTTTGCATTAAAATGTAATCATATTTCAGCATCTAAAATTAAGGTATTGAGCCAGGTGCTTTATCTTGATAGGAAACTTTTAGTAGAGAAACTTAACTATATCAACCTCAGGTCAATGGTAAACAGTTATATTTTTCTCCAATCTAATACATCTTCCCCTTTAATAAATTTCTTGATTTAAAGATCAAGTACGTGTCTACATTTACTAAATTGGTTTACAATGATGTTTTTAAACCATTTCAAAATTATTTAATATATTGGGAGTCATACCTAATGTTTCACAAAGTGACCTTATCAGAAATGTTTGGGTCAAAGCTTAAATTATTCCACATATTTACCTTTTGATGATACAGAAGTAAAAATGCTTTTTGGAATAACTACCCTATCTTCTGAATTTCTTGCCCAGTCCACCATTGCCTTCTGTCCTTTCATTGGGAAGTTGATGTCTGTTAGAACGGAAGCTGCAGGATGCTTCTGAATACTAGCCACTATTGAAAAAGAAATGATATTGTCAGCTAGTCTTGCTTTGTTACTGCAATCAAACTGATCAAATTAAAATTGACATATATTCAGAACAGAATTTCAAGTCAAATTCACATTTAACAGAGCATCAAAACATGTTTGTTAGGCAATGTTGTTCCTGAGAGTTGGAAACTCATCAGTGGGTTTTGGTTGGTTTCATTAGGAATCATACAATGATGGCCAATGCTAATGTAAGTATCCCAAGGGAACCCACAGAAAATGTCACATTGCTTCTTGATGACTGCTCTCTATGCCAGCTGTTAGAAGCCATACTGCATTTTCTTTTAAATAGTTCAGCTTACAAACTGATAAACTAAAACTCGAATTTTATTTACTTCTATTTTATGTATATGTGTGTGTGCCGACTTCTCTGTATGTGCACCATGTGCATGCAGGTGCCCCTGGAGACCAGAAGAATGTGTTGGGTCACCTGGAACTGGAGTTGCATACAATTGCAAACCCTACCTCATGTGGGTCCTGGGAGCCTGACTTGGGTCCTCTTCAAGAGCAACAAGTACTCTTAACTGCTGGGCGATCTTTGACCCTGCATTACTATTTGAACTAGTTTGCTATGGTTTAGATGGGGTCCTCTGAAGACACTGACAAGAAGCCATATCACATTGAAAGAACTGTCAGAATAGAGGTGATGCAGCACTGATAACAGTGTATTACCACAACATTGATTTTACATACAGAAATATCAAGTACATTAATAACAACATAATCTTGACTTTCCCTTAAATTCAAAGTAAAAAAATATACATGTTATCAGGGGTTGTCTTTCCTAGCAATAAGTACTTTAATATACATGGAAAATTTTAATGATCTCTTAGGGGAAGTTTAACTACATATTTATTACATGTAATATTGAAATTTATTTTATAGGTACACACACATATAAAACAAGGTTTAAGATGATAAATACTTAAGCACCTACAGATTATACATTATATACATGTTTCAACTAAGAAGTACAATTTTTAAATTTTTACATAGACCCATATTTGTCCTACATTAATGCTTTGAGTGTCCCATGGAGTTTATGAGTGGAAAGATGATGGAAAACTGTAAAAGCTATCACAATAGGAAAGCTAAAGTAAAAACCATTAGGCTCTTCATAAGTGGATTTTATTCTAAAAGAACTTGTAATTTAAAACAAGAGAGGATAAAATTAAGATTTTAACAATATTAGTAGTATAAATATATTAGTGCACCACTGGCACAGTTTCAAATTAAATTGGTTATGTATTATGGCATCACACCAGTGAAATTATACTTTATGAAAGCTCTTTCTAGTTATTATACACATCCATTATCAGCACAGGATGGAATTTCATTTGGCCTGCAATTTGACATATTATGTTTAGAAAGGATTTGCTAACTAAATGTTGAAGGAAAAAAGGTACTGGGTAACATGTAAATTAGTTATGGTTGTCAAATGCCATTTTCGAATAACAACTGTAATTATTTTAGCTTTCTTAAAAAAAATTAAAACAAGATAATTTTCCTGTGCATAAATACCCCACTCAAATGTCCCTAGAGCTATTAGCCTTCTGCTGTTTATAGATAGACAGTCATCACACTGGTAAAACATACTGTCTTCAATTTCTTAAACTAGAATGTGCAAAATTACTTAAAATGTTTTCTACTCTTTATTTATCTTGAAGTTTAGGGAAAATTTATTTCATTACGTGTTTTAAAAACTGATGAGAAGACATCAAAGTTGTCTTTCACAGGCTGTTTTCAATTATTACGGAATTTAAACTAGAAGTGAATAAGTAAATGGTTGGACACTGAGGTCTAAAACTTTAGATAGATGATAGATAGATGATAGATAGAAAGATGATAGATGATAGATGATTGATAGATGATAGATAGATAGATATAGATAGATAGATAGATAGATAGAGAGATAGATAGATAGATAGATAGATGATAGATTGATAGATAGATAGATTGATAGATAGATAGATAGATAGATAGATAGATAGATGATAGATGATAGAAAACAAAAAATAAACACAAAGCAAGTTTTTTAAATGTAGGACATTAACAGGAATGTTGACACATGTCTTGAATCCAAGTAGTAAGGAGGCAGAAGCAGGTAGCTCATTATGAGAATGAAGCTATCCTGGTCTACATAACAAGTTCCAGGCCAGCTGGGGCTACATGGTAAGACCCAATGTAGAGAGAAAGAAAGAGAGAGAGAGGAGAGAGGAAAGAGAGAGAGGGGGAGGGAGGGAGGGAGGGAGAAAGATAGAGACAGAGAGACAGAGACAGAGACAGAGAGAGAAATATTTGTATCCATTAGAGATCACTTTACCGGAGTAAATGGTAGCTTAACACTATATCATGAATATGGAATTTGACATAGTAATACAGGCTGGTATCTTGCTTCATGAAGTACATTCTTTCATTGAAGATACATTAGACTGTTAAATATGACTACATAGGAAAGATTGTGCTTCTCAACATAGTATAGAACGAAGGAATAAAAAAAATTATGGCCGGGTGTGGTAGCTCACTCCTTTAATTCCAGCACTCAGAGGCAGAGGCAGGTGGATCTTTATGAGTTCGAGACCAGCCTGGTCTACATAGTGAGTTCTAGGCCAGCTGGGGCTACAGGAGACCTTGTATATGGGACATTTATTTGTTCACAAGTGTAAATTTCATGGTTTTCTGAAGAAAACAAAAAACTGACTTTTTTATTATACTTAGTAATGCAGTTTACACACACACACAGAGAGAGAGAGACAGAGAGAGAGAGAGAGAGATAGGGAGAAACACACATACACACAAATATGAGGTGGAGAGATGGCTTCGAGGTTAAGAGCACTGACTGCTCTTGCAGAGGACACAGGTTCGATTCCCAGCACCCACATGGTTGCTAACAACCATCCATAACTCCAGTTCTTGGGGAATCCAATGCCTTCTTCTGACCTCCTTGGGCATTGCACAACATGGGTGCACTTACATACATTCAGGCAATAAACTCAAACACATAAAATAAAAACAGTAAATAGTAAATAAAATATTTTTAGAAGTAAATTATAAAATATACATATATAATGCTGGGCTTGGCAGCACACACCTTTAATCCTAATACTCAGGAGGCAGAGACAAGCAAATTGACATGAGATTGAGGCCAGCCTGGGATGGTCTACATCGAAAGTTTCTAGGGCTACCAAGTGAGACTTTGTCAAAAAAAAAAAAAGAAAAACTCTATCTATCTATCTATCTATCTATCTATCTATCTATCTCTATCTATCTATCTATATATGCATATATTACTCTATGTTCTCTACGTATGAAGTGAGATTTTTGTCTAGATGTTAATTCACATGCTGGAATGTATCTGTTTTTAAATTATTTTATTCTATTTTAAAATGTGTTTCTAATTAAATATTCAAAATATATATTTATCATATAAAACATGTTTTAATACACACATACATGTGTATATACATTGTGACCATTCACACTGAGCTAATTACTATGTGCAATATCTCACATACTTTTCATTTTTGTGGTGAGAACATTTAAAATGTCTCTTAACAATGTGTTTCTCAAAGTAATTTCAATAAAAGCTTTCTAAAAATGACATTACTTGTAGACTTCTGTGGCTCAAATATTAACATCTTAATTACTGATATTTGTAAATTAACATGTTTTTAAAATTATGAGGTGTTTTAAATTACACATATTTACTCCCACTTTCTTAGGCAGGTATTTCAGATGATATATTGGCTCTATATGAACCTTCAGTCATTAATGATAAAGTCTATTTTGACACAGCAAGCATAATTTAGAGATGACTTGTTTCCTAATTCTTTGAGTCTTGTGAAAGACATTTGGACCAATCCAATTCCCAATTCCTTCCATTTTTCACTATTCAAGCCACTTAGGTAAATTAGATAGAGTTAGTCTTTAAGAAAAGGGAAAGCTAGAATGTTATATGACTACTACTAAAGAGATGAAATTCAAAAATTTAATCCACTAAACTACAACTCAGTAAATATGTGCCTAGTGCCAACAGAGTGACATAAACACAATGTGTAAGTTCACAATGCATACTGTGCTTTTGTAGTAATGGATTCATTAACTCCAGTAACTATGAGTGCTTGGTGACAGAAGAATTCTCCTAAAATGTTTAAAAATAGCCTTTCTTACAAATTACAGCACTTAGAAGAAACATGACAGGACACATTGTCTCTGAACAAATATGCATATTTTCAGTACTCCAAAAATTACTCTGCATTCACTGTATCATGATTTCATTACAACACTAGATTTGATTTCTTATGCAATAAAAAACAGAAATTCATCACTGTTCAATGCTGGATATATATATAT